CTAAAAGTTGTCGCAATATAGTCACGATTTGTTCACTATTTTTTTAAAAAGAGTTGGTGACGATGTCATCATTGAAATGATGATTTAATCGCCACTAAATGACTGAGATTTGGTTACGACATAGTAAAAACCATTAAATTGCGATTGAATCTTCACGATTCAGTCACAAAATCGCGACTATCACATAACCAGGTTGTCAGAATTTGATAGGTTTCAGTAAAGTAGGTCAATTCAATGTTTTTTTATATTAAAAGTTATATTGTTTTTTGTTATGGTTTTTAAAGTTATTATATATTATGGATCTTCTTTCAATATTTTAAAATAAAATTCTTTTTGCTCAAGTTTGGTTTTTGATATAGAATAAAATTGATCTGTTTGAAATAATATAATTTGTCAAGATTTTAAACTTGAAAAGATTGTTTAGATCTTTTGTATTAATAATGGTAAATGTAATTAAGTTTTTATAATATTTGATTTTAATTCTTTATTAATATTATTTGAAAACAATATTTGAGTATTAATTTATCTAATCAAACTCAATCGAATCCAAATTAATAAAATTATTTAATTTTCAATTCAAGTAAAATTTGATAATTAAATAATATATTAGTCATTATTCTTTAATAATCAAATTTAAGAAAAATTCCAGTAAATTAGAAATATAAACTCTTAAAGAAATTACTAAACAACTTGTCAGAAAATGTTTTTCTTGTTTTTAATAACATTCATGTCATTATCAAAGGTAATAAAAAATTTTGTGAAGATTATCTATATATCCTTTTATTTTTTCAATCAATTATTAATAACTCAAATATAAACATTCATTTGTTTAGCATCTTTACAAATAAATAACATATTAATCTTATCAAACTAATAAAAATCTTGATATTATTTATAAATTTAGAATTATATATCACATGTACTGTATATCGAATTTTAACGTATACGTATATAATTTTTATGATTGTTATACATTCCAAGAAAAAAAATTTTTTTTATTAGATAGTTTGCTTCTTGATATACAATATTTCTTTTGATCTCATTCATAGATGATTAGTTTGCGCTGGTGCTAAAATATTCTATTGTTCATACATGTTTCTATAAATTGTACATCCCATCCCATCAAAATGTGCCAATTTCCAGGAGCTACGGCGATTACAGACATCACAACTTATCTGAATACATTATTAATAATACAGAAAAAATAATCTATTAAATTAATATTCTATCGGTACTTGGTTTTAAATCAAAGGATAATTGCGTATACAAAGTCTAGCATCCGAGATATCAGATTTTTAAAGAAACCTCAATATATATATATATATGTATATACTGTATATTTGTTTCGTATTATACGTCATTGGCCCTTCTTTTTGTTAGATCGGTACTATTTTTGTTGCTTCCTAACACTCTTGCATTATCTTCCTCAGGTAATTCTATCGAACTGGAGTCGTCATACGCATCAAAACTGGTATCTTCTTCCGCTTCCTTTCTGGCAATATATTTCAATACGTCTTTTACTGTTATAAGGCCCACTAGCCTACCCGTCTGCTCAATGAGGATTACGCGTGGACTATTTTATTTTGAAAAAGAAAAGTCAATTACATTCATGCATAACTTTAATATACATATTTTTGTCTTAACTAACCCCATTTTCTTGAATAAGTCCATAACAGTTTCGAGTGGTAGACGTGGATTCACCGTTATTGGAGTCTTGCGGAGCATTTAGAATTAATATGAAATTCTATTTCGATAAAGGATTATTACATCATAGGTTGAAAGACATACCTGGTCAATGAACGAGGCAAAATCAATAAAATTAGATGAGCTGTCTCCATTATCGGTATCCTTTGAGATATTATCATCAGGATTGAAAAAACAATGCGCCGTGTTGGATGTCCCCCGAACCCTCTTTGCCTTATCTATAAATGACAAAATTTCTTGTCTAAAATAATATTAAACCCTATTTGCATAAACAAAAATAAAATCACCTAAATACCTATCGCATATTTCAATTCCGCACGACCTATGTACCCCAGGAGAGTCATACTCTTTTTATCATTTACTATCGGGAATCCTTGGAAATTTGTTTCCAAGAGTATTTGATCTTAAAGAAACATTTATAATTGATTTAGTATCCTCAGAATGGCAAGAGGAAAAAAATTTGTATCATTTGAAAAAATTTTCACCAATTTCATCTAATTTTAGCCCCGAGGCTGTCATTACAGTAAGGTCTCTTCTCATAACAGTGGCCACTGTGATTTTCATGAAAATATCATTATATTTCCGTAAAAAAATCACAAATATTTATTAAGTGAGGGTGTAAATACCAACCTGGAACTCCGAATGAATATTCTTCTTTGTCCAGAAACGGAAACCCGTTGAGGCGAATCATTCGGTCAGCAGTAAGTATCAGTTAAGAATATGTATTGAAAGAGATCAATAAACACATAAATTCAATATAAAAGGATATATGCCACCATGTCCAAAAAGATCTCCTACAGTCTTCGTCACCATTATAGTGATCTATCAAATATCGATCAGCCTCGAGTTAATAAATATTGAGAGACAAAATTAATTTCTTTACCATGGTTGGTAATATGTACGTTAGAGCTCCTGTAAGTTCGAACATGATCACAACTACACAAACTGTGAATGATAAAATAAATCTCTTATCCATTTGTAACTTGCTCAATATCAACGGCCAATTATTACCTGTTAGGTGCATTATACCGCTATTTTTTTTTTTTTTAAAGACATGTTTTATAATTAGAATTTGCAGAATAAAAAGCAGCTTCATGTAATTTATAGGTACCTTAAGGCAGCAGCAGCACCTAAGAATGCATACATTCCAGGTGTAACGCACTGGAAAGGTAACAAAATTATAAATATAAATTTTTTTGAAAGTGTTGTATAATCCACTTACAGGAACATCCGGTTTGCAACTTGCAAACAATGGAAAATTGGGATATGATCTATGAGAAAACAACGAGCTTAAAAAATGAATGCTTGCGACGCAAGATTCTGTATTCAAGACACATTAAGAATAAAAGCATACGCATGAAAGGCCTTCACGCAAAGACCAACGAATCGTCCAAATGTAGCCCCTACGGCCATTGAAGGAACAAAAATTCCGGCAGGGACCTAATTATTTAAGTATGTACGTATGCATGTATTGCATGAGAATTTAAATATCCAAAATTTATCAATGCCAAATAAGAATAAAATATACTTTTGCTCCGTAAGATATTATAACGAAACCAGTCCTAAGAATGGTCGCAATAAATAATAAAATCGTCATTCTCCATATTTCTGAATTTTCCGAAACTTCGGAATGCCTGAATTTATCACAAGAATTAATTATTACGGTAATAAGATCGGATAATAAAAACAGAGATTAAAAATCACTGACTTGCAGAGGCCTTCGTAGTCGTAGGATTTTTTCCCTTCGCATTCTTGGAAGAGTATTCCCAAAGTTTCAGTCATATCCGTCTTCATAAATATGTTGAAGTACCCAAACAACGCTGTAAGGAATGCGAGCACCGCAACTTCGGTCACAAAATGATCCTTTAAATATTTTTTCCGATAAGATTGTACTTTAAGATTGAGTTTAATTACGAGTGCACCGTATAAACCCTAATTAAATTAAACAATCTTATTTACACGTACATAGAAGATTTATATAAGGAATCGAATGCAAATAGCTGTTGCTTACACCGAAAAGGCCTAATAAGGCAAAAAATAAAATTTCAAAAAAGTGCCATTCTCTATCGTAGGTGACTTGAAACATTACAAGTTTCCCGGTTCGAAAAGGATTCATTCCCTATCAAACTGTATGTCAGTAATAGTCAGGATTCAATGAAGATTGTGTATGAATAAAAAAAAAAAAAAATCACAACAAATACAACCATAATACCTGCAATACTACGGTCGCTACTAAAGCGCAGAAAAAACTACGCAACATTGTCTTCATTGGAAAATTGTGACTCATTTCCTAAATGATCATGATTTATCAAAAAAAGATGAAAATTAAACAAGATAACAGCGGTAATTGTTCCAGGATCACCTACCTCGAAAGAAAACAGAACTCCTCCTATTGGAGAGCCAAAGGCAACTGCCACTCCAGCCGCGCATGAAGCGGAAAGAATTTCACGCATTTTTGCTGTTTAACGAAAATTAGAAGTGAGTAACTAATGCAGAGATTAGCAGATCAATTAGCAAAACATAATCCGCGTATAACCTTTGTTTACAGAATTTTTTCCGAACAATCTAGAAATCACATTTCCCACACACGCAGCGGTATGCACAGAAGGACCTTCTTTTCCAACACTTAGTCCCGAGGCAATCGCTAAAGGCTAAAATTAATATGATTTTATTATCCTCACATGAAGAAGAAAGAAGCAACATTTATAAAAAATAATAACGATTACCAATCCAATGCTCTTTAATAGCAACGTGCGTCCACCCAAGAATCCTTTCATCACAAATCCAGCTAGAATGCATTTGATCTCCGAAATGCCCGAACCCGCAGCATATGGAGCGAAAGACTTTATCATATATGCACATACCACTGCAAATAATGTCTGGTTGAAGTAATTTAAAATCTTAATGATCGTCTTGATGAGAACAAAATAGCAAATAAGACTCTTAAAATTTTACCGAAAACATCACGTAAAAGAACCACCTAATCACATAGTATTGCGACCAATCAATCCAATCATCACAAGAACCGTCTACATGAAAGAATATGACAAACATGATTATCTTGACGGTGATGAATGGAAATCACGGAAAATCAGTGTTTCATACCTAGTTCTTCAACTTCCCAACAGCAAAATTTTTGATTTAACCACCAAGAATTCTTGCAGTAGCCAAACCTTATATCCGAAAGCCATTCGGTTATGATATCAATCAATGCCGCATTAAGGCCGATAATTATGCCTACCGAAAAAACCATCTTCAGATAATAACTCGGTGCCGTGAAAAAATTGTTTGCATAGAAGACAAACCAGCTATTGAAACTATGATCCACGCTTGTCCTGCTTGATAAGAAAGTTGAAACCAAGTACTCCAAGATGAACGATTTTCATTTGCCGCACTTCGCAATTCATTCACTCTCAACCGCTCGAGAATAGAATCCTGAACCCAATCTTTATGTATAAAAAAAGATCCACAGATAAACAAAAAAAATATTCCGCACTATAATTAATATTAATTAACTCGATCGTACCAATTGTGGTAAAATCCTCATATCTTCTTATTTCTTCGAAAGCCTTATCATATTTCTTATTAGGGTTCTTTATTGAATTAAGCATCAATGTGTTCCGTGAAACTCTTTGAGCACGAGTTTGTCGTGTTTCATGACGCGATTGTACTGGAATGTACGAGTTTTGAAAAGAATTTAAAAAACTACGATTCCCGTATGTATATAAATGATCATTAGGTTGATGCGTGATGGTTGTAGTTGAAAGTTTAGGGTGTTGAAAAATATTAAATCGAATATTTCGAGACAATTACCTTGCTACTTTGGAATAAAAGCTTGGGTTATTTTCCGTCCCCATTCTAAATTATTATCAATAATAAGTTTATATGTACAAAAGAACTTGAATACTGTACGTATGTGTTTATATACGGTGTGTTTGTGTAACTTAACAGATCGTTACAACCGTACATATGTAGATTTTCTACCAACATGCAAAAATTTAATTCACTTGGAGCTTATGAATTTGAACAAAGTTTATGTACAAGTTTTTTTTTGGTTTAATGTCTATCCGGATAAAAAAAGAATGCGAGCGCAATTATTACATACGATGCCTGAAAAAGAATTGTTTGTGAAGTTGAACGACAATGGAATTCAAATCAAAAGCAGAAATTTTGTATATATACCAGCAACATTGCACCTTCGAGCCAATTAGATTTACCATCCTTTTTTTTGTTTTTGTTTTTTTTTTACAAGGAATTAATTGAATGTATTTTCATCGTATGCCGATATCTTAAGGATTGATCAGCTCACCTGAATTAAGTAGTTCACGATTAGAACGGATATTGTCATAACGCAGGTTTCAAAGGTCTCAAAAAATAGAGTTAATGGACTATCCATAATCCATCCTAGTATTATGAGCAACGGGGAAACTCCCAATGCTATTTGCATGCTTGATCCTAGGGCTATGCCTGTTTTCGTGGGTCAAAATTAATGACTGTCCGATTTACGTATATATGAAAAATCTCATTGTCAACGCACCAATACATAAATCCATTTTATTTTTTATCGCAAAGGTTACCGAACTCGCGCTGCACAATTGGAACAAAAAAATGGATCAATATACACAAAAGAAACCAAAAAAAAGAAAAGAAAGAAGAAAGAAAAACCCACTGTTCAGCCGCATTACCCACTATTGGAATCAATATTATGCCTACAAATGTTGTGGATATGTTCAAACTCGTGACAAAGCCTTCAATGCTCGCAACGAGAAATTCGGAACAAATAGACACGAGAACCGTTATAATCATCAACCTAGAAAATGCCGATACCACATAAGTATCTAGGCGACGTCGGATGCGCATAGATGTATTACTCACGCGAAAAATGATACAGGAAGAGTGCACTGCGGCTCTTCACCATCATCTTCATGATCTTCATACTTCGTATCGAGGCAAGATGTATATTCTCAAATTATCAAAATATTCCTAATCCAATGAGATAACGTGTTTTCTTACCAGATGCACATGAGTCCGCAGTTGAAAGATGAGGTACAAAATATATATGACCAACAATACTAGAGCGGTGCCGTGACTTAAATTCAATAGACCTTGTTTAATGACATACTCGTCATCTGTGGACGCAGTAAACGCGGCAGGAATTAAAAGAGAGAGAACGGCCAAGGCCAAGAGAGACGACGAAGTTTGTGCTGCGGTCACGTTAAATGACTGTTCGACGTATCTACTCGATAATAAATACAAGTTTGACATCCAACCGAAATTTAAAGAGAAAAAGGTAAGGATGATAGTCGCAACTTACCTCAGACCACCAAAGAAAAAGCAAAATCCTTGGACCTAATATAACAAAAGTGAAAATCTTTCAAAATTCAAACGCGTAATACTACATTGAATGAAGTTCCTACCAAAAGCAAATTCGATAACACGGAACCCAATATTGATGCTACAAGAAATATAAGTTTTATGATTCTTCGTATATATAATGTATATAATCTTAAAAACTTCCATTTGCCTTACCTTGAACCACACGAATCATTCCATTTTTAAGTGCAACGACAGAAATAATAAATTCAACCGCGTTTCCAAAAGTGGCATTTAACAACCCACCCACTGTGGCACCCAATCTAAACGAAATCTCTTCGGTGACTGTATAAAATAAAAACCAAAAATTATGTTTTTTAATGCCTACGAAATGCGTGAGAGGAGAAAGGAAATCAAAATAATTACCGAAACTAAGCAAATTTGCTAGAGGAATAATAGCCAAAAAATTAAAACAAAAAATGAGAGAATCTGACCAGCATGCATGATGGCTTAAAATTCCCAACGGAACAAATATCAAAAGGAGGTTAAAATGCGATGCACAAACTATTGCCTTGATGGAAGACAAATTTGTTGGCTCTTTATATATGAAATTGCATCTTTGAAATGACTGATGGTCACAACCACGGTAATTCAATAGTGGTTCCGATTCACAATCATTCGTGTGGATGTGTGTCATGTCTGTGATAGACTTCGATTTTGAATAAATACTGCTGGACGAAATAATCCGAATTAAAGAGTTTCGAAGATCCAAACTATCTCTTGTGTCGGCATTAGGCATGCTTCCGTAAATACATATGGTGGTGAGGTTTCTTTATACGTATGTTTAACGTACCGAACTTTCGTTCACTGATATTTTTACTCTGACTATAGTATGATTAATGTTGATTACAATATTTCTTAATTTTGGTAATAGCTGAGTTGTAATTTATTAAATTATCCAAATCGTTCAAACCGAAAGTCTAAACCATGAATTTACATGATGTTTGCTAAAATGTCACATTTTATCATCTGGTCTTTTTTTTTATTCTTGTTGGAAATCGTAAAAAGCAATTCCGGATTGGGCTCATTTTTGCGTTGTGTCATCAACAAGCCTCGAGGTTAAGCCTCCCAAAGTCTGTTTGACCTGTCTCAATCAATAATTCCGTGGATGATTGCCAAATTATGTGGTACGATAATAATAACAAATTCCTTAAATGTATAATTTGATACATAATTTGTGTCTTATAATTTTAAGAATATCGGTATTCACATCAGATAACATGCGAAATAATTTTTATTGTATTTAACATAAAAAAATTATCTACGTAATTTAAAATATAAAAAAATAAATGTACATACTGTAAATATGGGTAATTCTTTTTGAAGGTAAACCGAAAATTTTTTGGTGTGATCCTAAAATTTATATTATATATGTATTGTTTAAAAGTTGGGTCCGAAAAATCATATCTAGCATTTTTGTCGCCTTCAAAAATAATTATCCATATATAGTATAATAAAACCAAACAAAAATTATTATTATTATATTTGCTTTTTTAAAAAAAATAATGAAACAGTATTATTATTAAATTTTTTTATAAAAATTTTATATTAAAACCATATACAGTGCCCTCCAATAAATGAAGGACCACTTAAGAATTATTAAAATTAATCGGAAATAGTCTCTATATATCA